GCTAATTAAGAACAGGTTAAACATTTTGGCAAACCGTTTAACAATAAAACAACAAAATAAAACATTTGACAACTAATGATATTCCGACCAGTTGGTATAAACATGTTTAATACAAATAGACATGACAATATCAAATAACGAGCTGTAATATTTTTTGTCTATTAATTATGGATTTAAAAGTTTAGATTTGTTTCACCAAAAAAAAAAAGTTTAGATTGGTTTTTCTTTTTTGTAGGAAATTTCTTGGAATTCTAGATCAATTACTGGCTTAGTTTATTTTTGGACTAGTTGGTATGAATATAAAAAAACATAACATCATTCACTTTTATAAATAGACACTATTTGTCTAGAGGTTTCACTTAATTACATGTGATCATCAAACACCAAATGATTTCACGCAATCACATTAGTAATAGTTTGAAAAAATGGAAATTTTGAGAAATGCCACTTTTGAAACACCATTTTTCAAAATCTTTTTAAAAAAAATTTAAAAATGTCATTTTTAAAAAATTATGTATTCATTATATTATTTATATTTGGATTAATTATGTTGTATTATGGTATAGTTTTGAGGGTTTAGGGTTTGTTAGGAGTTAAAACATTTTTTAGGGTTTAAAATTTTAAGATTTTAGTTTTAAAAATTCATAATTTGTGGCATTTTTACAAATGAACAACTTAATATGGTATTTTTGCAAAGTGGTATTTTTGCAATTGCCTCTTGAAAACGTCGATGTGAAACATGTCACTGTTGTTAGCAAAAAATCATGTCAATGTTTTTATGTGATTTTTCCACAACTTTATTCATGCTAATGCATGTGAATAAACCCAATATTGCATTATATATTTTTTGTTTGATAGTGTAAAGTACTATATATAGACCAACGAAAGATATCAAAAAAAAAACAATGGGTGGAAATGTGGTTACAATAAATAAGAAAGCAAATTTTCTATTTCCATATAAAAGACTCTGAGCTCTCTTCGCACCATTATGTTTTTTCTTTCCTTTTTGCTGTTTTTGCGTTTTCTCATTTACAACATTGTTTCACATTATTTAGTGTGTGATTGGTTCGGCTGTAGCTGTAGATTAATTGCTGTAGAATTTTT